TGCACATGGTCAGCCACAATGCCCAAATAAGATGTGGCATTCAAGCAATGATTGATTGGTATTAGTGGGCTAAAGTGTGCCAAGAAAACATTCCCCACACCATTACACCACCTCCACCAGCCTGAACTGTTGACACAAGGAGGATTGGGTCCATAGACTCATTCTGTTGGTACAAAATCCTGATCCTACCATCTGTGTACCTCAGCAGAAATCAAGAATCATCAGACCAGGCTATGATTTTACAGTCTTTAACTGTCCAGCTTTGGTGAGCCTGTTCCCACTGTAACCTTAGATTTCTGTTCGTGGCTGACAGGAGTTGAACCCAACATGGTCTTCTGCTGTTGTAGCCCATCCGCCTCAAGGTTTAATGTGTTGTGTATTCTAAACTGCTTTTCTGCTCAAAAGATTTGTACAGAATGGTTAACTCAGGTACTGTAGACTTCCTGTCAGCTTGAGTCAGACTGGCAATTCTCCATTGACTTCTGTCATCAGCAAGGCATCTCTGTCCTCAGAAGTCCTGCTGACTGGATGTTTTCTCTTTATTGCACCATTCTGAAACTCTAGAGACTGTTGCGCATGAAAATACCAGGAAATCAGCAGTCATAGAAATACTTAAACCAGCCCATCTGGCACCAAGATTCATGCCATGGCCAAAATCACTGAGATCACATTTTGCCCATTCTGATGGTTTATGTTATAACATTGAAGACATTTAGGTTGGTTGCAAGTGCAAAATGGCTTTATTTGGGGCAGTCCAATTCTCGTTGTCACAACAGGTCAGAACACAGACAGGTATCAGAGCCAGATCTATATATTTGAAGACCAGAAAGCCAAAGCAAGGTCAAAATTTAGGCTCAGAATTTAGAGACCTCACAAAAACTAAACCAAAGAAAGAGAGTTATGAAAGGCAGTAATGAGTCCTGGAATCACATTAAGGTGTGAGTGGGCAGAGCCAGGGAGAGTGCAAGTGTAGTGTCCCGAGAAGGGGGAGACAACATGACACAATCCCACCCCCTTAAGATGTGGCTCTCAAAGGGTGGGCCCAAACCATGACGAGCCACGGCCACAACCAAAAGAAAGTACAGAGGGTAGGGCGGCTCATCAACCAGGTCAACAGAGAGGACAGGGGTGGGACTAGCAATGTGTGCCAGTTGAGTGTGACACTGGGAACCCAGCTGTGGAGCCAACCATTGGCCTGGCACAGAAGGAGCAGCTCTGGGGGCTGGCACAGGAGTAGCAGTCCTAAAGGGCAGCTGGAGCCAGAGCGGTCTAGGGAGCAGGAATATGAGTGGCCTGTCAGGAGCTAGAGCCATCAGGTGTGCAGGAACAGATGTTGTAGCCCTAGGTGGCATGATGAGGGCAGGTGTCGACAGGCCAGTGCTCTCCATAGCACTTGTCAGAGCCTTGAGGGCAGGAATTGACGAGCCAGTGCTCTTCATAGCACTGGGAGGAGGCATGGAACCCTGTGCTGTCTCACTAGCATTCTCTAGAGATCTAACTAGTGCTGTGGAACTCAGCGCTGGCTTGCACATACTTTCCAGAGATCTAGGTGGCGCTGTGGGATCCTTCTCTGTCATTAAGGATACAATGGGGTCCCCATTGACTAATGACAGCAACAGTACTAGACCACTTTAGCCTCCTCAGACTGCAATGACTCATTAAAGTGGGCTACCCATAGAAAAAGTTGGTGGTGTGGAGGCTGGTTGGTGGTCAGGAGTTTGAAGACACTTACTGCAGAGGCATGTAGTTCAGTTGCAAGTGTGAAATGGCTTTCTTTGAGTCCAATTCTCATAGTTACAACAGGCCGGGGTCAAAAAACAGGTAAGCATCATAAAAGGCAGATCCATATTCAAAAAACCAAATCTGAGTGGGCGGAGCCATGAAGAGTCTCCCCTGATGAAAGAGACAATATGACAGATATGAGCAATACCTGAAGCCGCTGGCCCATATCTGCATGATTTTATGCACTGCCCTGCAGCCACATGATTGGCTGATTAGATAATTGCATAAATGAGCAGATGTACAGGAGTTCCTAGTAAAGCACTCAGTAAGTGAATAATTATATGATGAAACATTATATCAGTAGTCATACAGGGAAAATACAACACTATATAACAGCATATAACTGCTTATAACCATTGCTGGATATGAATTCCCACAAAAGGCACTGTATTTTTCCATTTTGACCTGTGAACATTTACCTGCACATAAAATGGGTTAATAGCTACCTTTTTTATTCCAGTTTGCCAGACAGATTCAGGCCCGGGTTAACGAAACCGTTAAGATGACTGTGAAGAAGATAACGAGAGTGACACCCTGAGGATCTTTTGTGGCTCATCTGCATGTATAACTGAGAAAAGCTTGAATAATTAATGATAAGGCACCACAATTGCACTATGGAAGGGGCTTGGGGCTGATTTTGGGTTTCTGAGAACACCAGCAGCTTCTTTGTTTGATGTGTCCGTCTCCTTTTCTCAGTGAGGTTCTTCTTGACAGCTACACATCCTTTCAGACCCAGAGCGCTGAGTCGTCTTCTCACAGTGGAAGGATGGACAGAAACACCTGTGGATGTTTTCAGATCTGAAGCAGCTTGATTTTCTCCTTTCTCTCAGAGATGAAAGCTTTAAGTGCTGTTTATCTGATGGGGGCAGTTTTGGGTGTCTACCAGGTCTTCCAGGTGGTTGTTAGGAGTCTCATTTTCTCTGTAGCTTTTAATCATTTTTTGAGCTCCAGTTTTGGAAACTCCTGTTTTCTCTTTTATTTATTTGATTTTTCTTTTACTTTCCTTAAGCAAATGGATTATCTTATATCGTATCTCCTCAGAAATGTCTCCTTTAGTCCTGTTACAAACTCTTTGAAGGGAAACAGAATGTCAGTGACTTATTTTGGAGCAGATTTTGTTGGGTCGACACAGCTGTAACTTGCTGGTGTTAAGATTGGAAGGAAGTAGGAGCGCAGGATATGAGCCCTTCAAAGAGTGGACAAATGAAATAATAATAGATTTGACATTATATTTATTGTGTTGGAGGTTTTTGTATTTTCTGTTAAATATATTTTCTTCTTTTTTATAACATTCAAAGGGTCTCTAACCTTACACTCTCAGAAATAAAGGTAGTAAACTGTCACTGGGGTGGTTCCCTCAAGGCTTCATCTCAGAACCTTTAGTCAGGGAACATAACTGAACCATAATCCACTGAAATGATATGTTCTAAGCTGTACTGACTCCACACACCCCGTCTCGTCTCCAGGCTTTTATTTTACTGTTCTGTTTAAAACATTCGGTTATGAAAAGGTACAAATACGAACTTTTCACCTGGGAAAACTTATTTAAGGTTCACAATCAGACCTTAAAACCACTGTTGTACCTTTGAGGGAACATTTACACTGTTTGTACCTTGATGAACGAAAAATGTACCTGAACAGAACCTTTATTTCTAACAGTGTACTGTTAGTATTGAGCCATTTGAAACTGACTCACTAAGTGTCAGGAGATGGCGCTGTCACCCTTTATGTAGGTATTTATCTCCATTGCATACCCACTATTATATATAAGCACTTATTTCACAAAAAACATAATTCATACATATATCAACTTATACATCTATAGATTTAATCTAATCTAATAGAAATCTCTATTTTTGCACTACTCAGAATATTCACCACCATCTGTTGTCATTCCTGATTGGGGCTTTTATGCTTTATGCAGCTTTTTTCTGCTTCACCTAATATCAACATAACAGAAGGAACATTGATGGACGTTTATTTCTTAATGTAAGAAATAAAATCTTATTCATACTCCAAAGGAAACCTGAGTGAGAATCATTGCGTACTTAAAAATGGGAGGAAACCAGATCAGAATAAACCGCTGTGTGTTTAAAGGTCAAGGGTACGTTTGTTCAGGCTGCGGTCAGTTTATCATTAGCTTCGTGCTCTTCTGCACTTATATTAGGAGTGATAAGCAGGAGCTTTTTAAAGGACAGACTCCAAATGATATTTGACATTTCAACTTTTTAGAAGGACTAAATTTTACAGATTGTAAAAACAAAAACAGAGAACATGAATTAAAGCAAATTAATGGTCACTTAATGCAACAAAATGTGTGCTTTTATTGCTTCACAAACCTATAACACATTTAAGCACACTTTATTTTCATTTTTTTTAATGCTCAACTTGCTATAACTCCTCTGTTAACTTTATTTCTTCTACTTTTAAGTACAATTTACTGCTAGTACTTTAATATTTAAGCAGATTTTCAGCTGCTAGACTTTGACTTTGACCAAATTATAACAAATGAATACTTTGGTGATTTTTAACTTTTTTTTTAGCACAATTTAATATACCATTTATATGCTTAACTAGCTGGAATTCCACTTTTAACATATAATACCTCTGCTAAAAAGGACTATTAGGAACTATTAGGATTAAAACCTGATGGTTTTGCTTTCTAATGGGAATTGGCTTAATGGTTTTCAACTAGAACGCCTTTAGAATCCATTTGGAAACCATCAAATGCATTTAGAATCAGCCGGTGGTCCCCTGATAAACCATTAGGATCTTTAACATTGTGATACCAACCCATCAAAAAGCCAAAACACGTTACAAAACCATCCGGAACCAACAGAAACACTTAATGGTTTTATGGGTTTATTAGCAAGGAGGCCTACCACATCAGAATACGTGTACCAGATAGAGCGTTCGCGTATTTCTGCTGCTTTATGGCTTTTAAGTACATTTTAGTACATGTGCTTTAATATTTCGGTCGATTTTATACTGCTTGTCGGACGTTTAACCGCATAATAACAAAATAATTCGGTCTGTATTCGCGAATCGGTACATTTCTTACCCCACCGCATATAAGGCTTCATTTAACACCCGTTTTCGGGAAAGTCCCGCCCTCCGTGCGCTCTGATTGGCTAGAGCTGCGGTTAAACAAGCAGCAATCGTATTGGCAGACTGCTTGGGAGTACTTTCCACTAGCCATTCAGAGCGTAGGAGTGGGCGTGGCTACTCCAGCTAATCGTGAGTCAGTCTGGATTAGTTTCTGTGAGATTTATCGCGTAGAAATTACGTTTTGTGGTGTTGGAAGAGGAGGAAAGCGGCCCGTTATGAACCATGGCCTCGGATCTGCAGCTGAACAGGGTCCCAGTTCCACCCGAGGAGGAGGAATTCCATCAAATCCTGAAGCAGATCGGTGGGAAAGGGAATGTGTACTTGGTGGGCGACGTGGACAGAAAGGATGATGAATGTAAGTGCAGCTTGATGAAGGAGTTCGTTGCGGATGTGCTGGCTGTGGACGGCATGCATGGAGAAATGAACAAAAACGGGGAGATCGGGTCAGAATGCTGTTCAGGGTCAAAGGGTCAAAGCCCCGGCAAGCCCGAGGTGGGTGCAAGAATGAGGGCTACGTCTGATAAAGGAAGGGCTATGCACTGTGCCATAGTCGTGTTCCTGTTCAGACATGCTTATGTCCGTGATAAAGCCAACCATGTGAGTGTGAGGGAAGTGCTGAAGGATGTTAGGACCAGGACAGAAGGCCACGGAGTCCGGCCTGCCCTGCTTGGGCTGGTTCATGACCACTGTGAAAGTGCAGAAACCGCTGAATCTGTGGAGCTTTTGGAGCAGATGCTGAGGTCAGTGTTCTGTAAACATCCACACGACTCCATCTGGGCTGGACATTTCGTTCCTAAAGCGCCGGACGGAGTGCAGGCGATCAGGAGGCACATCTGCAGATCTGTGCTTTCGGCCCAGGCTGCCCAGTCCACAGGTGAAGTGGGATATACTTTTGTGTTTTTATTCCCCCCACCAGTTTGTGACCATCTTGCAAATTGATTTTGATCTCAGTGGGGCTAACCTGGGGATATTTTACAAAGCAGGAACTCTCAGAAAGCCGAATTGTCTTTTAGATCTATTAGGCCTAAAGGGGTATTCCACCAATTTTTCAAAATCCTAATTTAGATTAGAGAGAGATGTCTTTACAGTGGTGGTGATAGGAACCAGGGGTCGCCATGACTACAACACAAATATAGACATTTTATTTACTATCCAGAACCACCAGTGAACCTACACGTGAAAATCTAGGGGGAAAAAACTTTTGTTCGGGGACTATTGTGCTTTAGAACCCCCTTGATACTATGTATCCCTCCACCATGAATGAATTTAAAAGTATGTTTTAGGCCAAAATCTTTCTCAAAACTGCTTTCTGTAGAAGTAATAACTTTCTATGAGGAAACTTTTAGGGGCAGATGTCAGGGGCCGGATTCACAAAGGCTTTCTTAAAATAAAACATGCGACGGTTCTTAAGGCAAACACTAAGAAGTTCGTAAGAATGTTCTTTAATGCAATTCTTGAAAAAAAAAAAACTTAAGAAGTTCTCAAATATTCTTAAGAAAACCTTCATTGTTTTCTTATGTAGGCTATTTTACCATGTACCATAATGACGCAAGATACAGTTTGAATTTGTATTAACTGTTATTTTCGTTATTTAGTTTAATCTGCTCAGAGGAGCAAAATGGAGGAAAAACATCAAACCAGGCTTTAAAAAAAATAGCAAACAAGTACTAAGGTGATGGTGGAAGAAACAGCCAACAGGGAAAAATCCTCCTTGGAAAATATGATAATTGTGGGGTGACGGACGAGGATGAGGAGCAGCAGAGGCAGCGTCCATGATAAATTTAGATGCTTGCCTTGTCAGCTCTCACAGCCTGAGACGAGTGTGAGTCTGTCGTAAGGTTAGGAAAACATTCAAGGACATAATATTTTCAAGAATACCACTAGTTCTTAGAAATATTCTTAAGAAAATAGTAATTCTTAAGAATTTATTTGAAAAATAATAATTCCTTGCGGCTTTTTTTTCTTAAAAATGCAGTTAAGAAAAAACACACGTTATTTAAGAAGATTTGCTTTCTTAAGACACTTTTTGTGAATCCGGCTCCAGGTCCCTATCACCTCCACTGTAAACAATTTGACTCAAGTTACTCTAAAACCGAGCGTCTCGTGTTAAACCACTCTGATTGTCTTTGTTTACACGCTGAAAGTTTGAGAACATGTTGGAATTCCTCTTTCAATTTTCCAGCTTTGTGAAATGATACATAAAGTAAAAATAAAATGGAAAAATACCAACTTAACTTTGTGTAATAGTGACTTTCAGTGCAGTACTGATGTGTCTGTGTGTAGTTCATGTCTGTTGGGTCCAGTTTGCACGTCCATTTTTAGTCACAAGATTTGGAGCGTTTCCTCAGGCATGGAAAAGCTGGAAGGGAAAATCAATTTTTACACACAAGATTTCTTTCATAAAACAAACAATTTGCTCTTTGTTGATTGTTTTGCTGTTTGTCGTTATGGCCGCAGACACCAGCCCGGGCAGAAACAGCCATTTTTTCTGGCCACTACGACAGTGTTTTAGGAGAGGGCGGAGAGACCGGCATGACACAGCGTCGGATGACCAGGTTCAGAAAGGTGAGCCGGAGAGAACCCTGTTTATCCACATTCATATTAAATCAGATTGCTTTCAGCCTTACTTAAAAGAGGTGTTTAATCTCTGTAGGAAGTGCAGAAAGCAAAGAAGAAGAGATCCCCCTGCAGACGAGAGCCGAGCCATGCTTATGAGGACGCGGGTACCAAGGCACAAAATGACCACTGGACCCGTAAAATGTATGCACAGTTCAAACCTACAGATTTCTTAGATGACAATGTTAAAGGACCAGATCAGCAGATGAAGTTTACTTAATGTTGCTGCTCCCAGCATCTGTTTGATGCTTATGATTTTGGCTGGATCTCTGACTTGATTGCACCTTTTTGGCTGTCCTTAACACTGTTTACACCTTTTACATATTACAAATGCAGATGTAATATTTGTTAGTCCTTTATATATCAAGCTGTCGCATTGCTGACTGACTGAGTCAGTGATTTGCTCTCAGGCGAAGCCTTCACTGAAAATGTTAAAACAGTTTTCTTTGTAAACTGATTTATCACTGTGTCTGATTAAAAAAAAAAATGCTAGTTTTTTTTTTGCACTTTTCTAAGCAATGTGCAAACTGCAAGTAAAGTATTGTTACTTGATTGTGCTGTTCTAGTATATGAATTACTGCTGATTATTTATTTCTAAAAATCAGATTTAGTAGACTTGATTAAAGGGCTCATATCATTCAAAACCTTTTCCTATTTTTTTTTAAATAAGACTTTGATGTAGTGTGTAACTAAATGCACTCAATAATCCGATCATAATTTAAATTCAATTAAAAATGTAATTGAATTCAATTAAAAATAAAAAATAAAATTAAAATTAAAAGTAAAATTAAGTATCCCACAATGGGGAAATTTCACCTCCGCTTTTTGACCCATCTGTGCAGTGAAACACCACATACACGCTAGTGGGCAGTGAGCACACTTGCCCGGAGTTGGGGGTTAGGTTTCTTGCTCAAGGGCACTTCAGTCATGTACTGTCAGCTCAGGGGATCGAACCAGCGACCTTCTAGTCACAAGGCTGGTTCCCTAACCTCCAGCCAGTGACTGTCCCCATAAGTGGATTTCTGCAGTTATCTGATTATTCAAATGGTCATGCAAACACCACACTCCGATCTAGAAATCTGATTAAGAAATCTGATAAAGAGGCTGGATTTTAGCTCAGCAATCAGATTTCTCAGTGCATATAAACACTCTGATTTCTTTCGGATTTCTCAGTCTGTGCATGTGCGGAACAGACTGCTGTTCTGGAAATAAGCGAGCAGCGCCGCCGCGAGACACAGCAAAACACTTTTGGAGCGACGCTGAAGCCAAATTCATCCTTGACGAAATGAAGGATTTAAATATTCTTCATTTTCTAGATGATGTATGAAGTTTGAGTTTAACGTGTTGATCAGATTACTGACAAAATCTGATTTTCTGCAGTTATTGGATTATTAAGTGCATGTAAACACACTCAGTGTTAGAGTTTTAAAATGCGCCACTCATTTCCCATCCAAACATGGAAACTAAGCCAATTTTTGTGATTGTGACAAAAAACGCCGTACTGTGCAAAACCACCTACGCAAATTGTTTAAAACATTTATCTGGGCATTAAGTGTGTTTTTGTTTGTTTCACACAGTGAAAAGTAACAAGAATGTCTTGTCTTCAAAAAGTGGTTAATATTTTTTTGAGCTTGTTCATAGAACAAAGTTTTGGTTCCTGACTTCCTGCTGCCCTCCAGCCGAGCCTAATCCATGTCTGAGAAACTGGTCTATGAAGTTCTTACACTTTAGTTCAGATCTTTTGGTTCCCTCTGTGTTTTAAAACAGCGCTATGTACCTGATTTAATTTTGAGCTTATTGATTAAATAAGCTATGTATTGGATGGTAACTGTGAATAATCTGGGCTGCTGTGAGGAGAGTTTATTAAACAGATAAACATATTAAGGTTTGTAAAATCAGAACTTGTTTAGTTAGTTATTTGTAATTGTTCTGATGTTGGTGTTTTAGCTCTTATACCCAGATAAATGGCTTCTTAGGTTTCAGGTGTCTAAAGCTTTTGCACAGTACAGTTCAGTTTAAACTGTTTAGCCCCACCCATTCAGCCTACAGCAGTTTAGCCCCACCCATTCAGCCTACAGCAGTTTGGCTCCACCCATTCAGCCTACAGCAGTTTGGCTCCACCCATTCAGCCTATAGCAATTTAGCTCCACCCATTTAGCCTACAGCAGTTTGGCTCCACCCATTCAGCCTACAGCAGTTTGGCTCCACCCATTCAGCCTATAGCTGTTCAGCTCTACCCATTCAGCCTGAATTTATAAAGGGTGTTACAGCCCAGATTGCTTTTTGAATGAGGCAAATTGTAGTGCAGCCAATCAGAACAGAGCTCATTAACATACATCAGTCATAGAGGTACAGTAATAAAAGCGGCCTGTTTAATGGTCTTGGTAAATAAACTCACACAAACATTGTAAGTGAACCTCAGTTAAAAAATAAATTACAAAAAATGGATATGGGCCCTTTAAATAAGTGTTCTACCCCAAATCTAGAATTTAATGAGCTTGGAAAGTTCACAGATAAACAAGCTGGACATGACATGCTAATCAAAAAGTCACTTTTGTTCTGATCATTTGGTTCTATTTGTATTTTAAAGCTGCACTATATAAGATTGTTTTGTTAAAGTCAGAGGCATTGAATTTTTCACACCATGTTGTCTGTCTTTACACATCAATGCCACACAAACAGGGTCAGAAAGAAGGTCTGGCTCGATGTTTCGGCCTCAAATGTTCTCAAAATCAACATTGTACCGATGAAGATGTGATGGCAATAGTAGATAATTCATTCACATCCTCTGTAGAGGCGTCCTGCACCGAGTTCTGACTGAGTTCTCTTTAAATTCTCTTTCAATCATCTGATTCGTCCGCTCTGAAAACCCATGCTACCAAATATTCTTCCGCACACTGCGTGCTGTTACACATTTCCACCAGAGAGGGCTCCAAATCCCCAAAACTTAGATAGTGTGGCTTTAACCAAGGCAACCTTTCACAAAGTTTCAAAATCATCAACTCCAGCTTAATTACACAGTATGTGGGTAGTATTCTCTAATTGAACTTTACTTAATAATTAATTACTTAAATTACAATTAATCTTCACTATTTTAATCATAGAAATGATATATTTTATGCTTAATGCTGTATTACGACAGACTGTTAGTGTAATAATGTACTGTATAATGTTGATTTTATTGCCCTTTGTCTACTGTGTCAGTATTTTTGTAATGAGCCTGGACATTTTTATAGTTGTTTTTATAATTCTTATAGTTTTTTATAATTCTTACATTTGTTTTTTATCATTCTTATAGTTGTTTTTATAATTCTTTTTTAATTCTTGACGTTTGAATTTAGTTTTCATTTATTTTCATTGTGAAGAAAATGAGTTTTAGAAGATTCAATAAATTATTTATTAATCATAATGCTGTGTGTTTGAATAGTCTGATTATGTGTATTCTTTAGTCCGCAAGTTTTGACTTGAAGACCACCTCCCCTAATCTAATCCTGACATAATAAGGCTTACGCGTTCCACGGCCTGCTGTAACTCAGGAGCTGCCAGGTTTCCTCAGCCTCCATGATCCGCTGCAGGTGGCACCAATAACAGCGGACAAAAGAGCTGGAATTCCATAAACTCCACAAGGAAATTAAAAAGACTGACAGGCGCACAATATTGCCTACAATAGCGCGGTAAAAACACTGGAGCTGAAGAGTGAAATCTCATTCACTCTGTAGAATCAGAGAGGATTAACTTTCTTACATTAACGCCAGTTAGAGGAGAAAGAAGTCGCCTGTTTTTTTCTCCTTCTCTGTTTAATGTGTCAAAATTTTAACTTAAATTATAAATAACGATCACTTGGCTTGACTTGTCTTGGATTAATAATGACTTAATTATTCATATCTCAAAACAATAACTTACTATGTCTAAATAATGATATACTTTCTGTAAGTTTTCCCTTACACTTACTTTCAGTATTTTAAAACTGTGACTTATTTTCTTGAAATTTATTTTCTCACATTTTTGCAATAATGGCTTACTATGTTGTTCTAATGACATTTTCCTCATAATGTGGCTTTTAGTATATTTAAATAACTTATTTTATTAGGTTTGTCTTAGTATCTCACAATATTGCCCTACATTGTTGAAATAATGACTTATTTTCTTAAAATTTGGCCTCAGTATCTCAAAATAATTACTTGAACAAAATAATGAGTTGTACTACGGACTTAACATCTCAAAATAATGACTTGTTTTCTCAAAGATTTGACTTAGTACCTTGACACAATGACAGATTATGTTAACTTATATTCTCAAAAATTTTAATTAATATCCCAAAATAACATCTCGATGAATTCCTTTCTTGAAATGGAATTAGTCATTATTTTGAGATACTATATTAAAACTTTGAGCAAGTCATTGCTTTGAGAAAGTGTGGCATTTTTTCAACATAGTAATTATTTTGAGATACTTAGTCAAGATCATTTGCCCTGACGTTAGAACAGTTCTAGCAGTGCTTCACGTGAAAGGGCAGTTCCACTGATTTTTCTAAATGTCAGCAAACAGAGTCGTTCAGAGTGGTTTGGTGTGAAACGCTCTGTTCTAGATAAACTTACTGAGTCAGAACTGTTCACAGTGGTGGTGATAGGAACCAGACGTCCACCTCTAAAAGCTCCCTCACAGAAAGTTACTACATTAAATGATTATGAATTCACTGCCTGATGTCTGAGACACTGTTTTGTGATAAAGTTTTGATCCTAAACATAAACATATTTTAAGTCAATTTACTTTAATCCATACACGGCGGAGGGATACGTGCAGGGTGTTGTGAGACAAAACGTTCCCCAGAGAAAACTAGTTTTTTTTCAGTATTTATGACTACTTAACCATCATCAACATTCCATATAAAAACTCAAAAGAAACGTGTAGGTTCACTGGTGGTTTTGGATAGTAGGCAAAATATAGTATATAGATTTGTGACCCCTGGTTCCTATCACCACCACTGCGAAGAAATCAGAGTCAGTACGTTTCTCTATAAAGAACTTCACACCAAACCGCTCTGAATGGCTTTTTGTAAATATCTCAACCACTGAATTGCGCAGAAATGTTAAAAAACGGTGGAATTCCAATTTAAGTACAGAAATTTTGAAACTTGGATGGAATTCCCCTTTTAGTCCCGGCTGTGGTGGCTTGAACTGACCGCTACGTGGCGCTGTTTATTCATTCATACCGCGGCCTCAAGGGGTTTCCACGCTGATTGCCCTAATGAAAATGCACAAAATTAACGAAATTGCAGAAAAAAGCTATAAAGCCTATTTATTTCCCACCTTCGTTTACACATAAGTTCAAATTTGCATATGATTATAATAAATGCATAAACATAAACAGGTGTGAGAGAGGTGTGGGCAGCCTTGCTGAGGACCCGAGTTCACCGTGGACAGTAAAGCCGAGGCGCCGCTGGAGAGAAGCGCGTTCAGCGGATTTGCTCTTTGAGGATTCGCCGGTTTATCGTTCCGTGTTTTTTGTGATTTGTTTATTGGTTTTAATCAGCGCGGCTCCGCTAATCGCACACGGGGATCTGCTTCACTCAGAAGTGGTTTGACGCTCGGACAGCAGGATGATCACTTCGGCCGGTGAGCGGTTTGAGAAACGGGGCTCATTTAGCTGAGTCACACGGACTAGGCTAACTTAGCTTAGCACGCTAAGCTAAACGAGCAAAATCAG